AACCTGCGGGAGGAGCCACGCAGCCAGAAAGGCGACAGGAAATATGCCACCCTTTCATTTACATTTATCCGACAAAGTGACTTACAGTACAGGGAAGGGTTACTATTCGCCTGCGCCCCCTAGGATTTGAACCCACAACCATTGTGCAATGCTCTACTTGGTGAGCTACAGGGGTCATACATCATATCATTTTTGTACAAGACAGCAGATACGCATAAGATTTGCTTTATGTCTAAATTGCCCGTGGGGGTGGGGGGGGGGGCATTCCTGCATTTTGTCCCGGGAGCAACAACCTAGACACCCGCACCCATCCTTAAGCCAGGGGGGCGTCGACGCAGATACCGGACAGCGAATCCGTAGTCCTTAGGAAAGACAGACAGGTGTTAACCTCACAAACTAATTAGCGGACTGATACACGCATAATTATTCAATTACAGGGGGGAGGGATCCAAGACTTGGAGGGTTAAATGGTCCTGCCTTTACCACACAGCCAACCCCCCCCAACCCAACCCCACCCCCAAAAAGGCAGCCAGCTACAGGTGCAGTGCAGAGGAGTCACATACAGCCGAAATGGGAGGGGGTAGGGGAGCCTAAGATTCGCTCGTACATTAAAACCGCCGTTATCCCTGATTTCATCTAGAGGCACTTGAGAGCAGCTCAGGAGCTTCTGAAAGCTCCTCACAGAAGACGGTGGGAATCGCTTCTTCAGGCCGAGAAGGAAATCTCAGCCCCACCAGGTATCGCCAACCCCCATAATACTCCGATATAAACACATCATCAATTTAGAGCCCACTATGTCACCCCCCGCATGTCGGCGTGGCAACGAGAAGACATGTACAAAAGGAGAGCGGGAGAGAGATATGGGGAGGCAGAAGGAGTGAGAGAAGGCAGGGGAGAGGGGGAGAGACGAGTAAGAAGAGGAGAGACAGAAGGAGTAAAAGAAGGCAAAGGAGAGGGAGAGAGAAGAAGTAGGTGAATGTGGGGAGAGAAAGACAAGGGGAGATGGCAGGAGTTAGAGAGGCCAGGGGGAGCAGGGAAGAGCTAATGCTGAAAACTGACTTTTAAAGAAATAAATAAAAATCCAATTTAGCGACTGCTGCCGGGACACAAATACATTCCCTGGATATTTCCCCCATTGTCAGAAAAAGCTGAAACCCAAATGGAATTTATACCTCTTTGCATTCTGCTCTAATAAGACATTTTTGGAGATTAAAGTTTAATGAGATGATGGAAGTACGGATGGTTTTCAGCGTGGCCCGGAGCGGCCGAGCCCGGGCTGGGATGAGGGGAGCGGGAACGCGCTCGAGGCGACAGAGGAACTTCTTTAGCCACTAGTGCCTCCCAGAAAGTTCCCACATGTCAAACAGTCAAAACCATGAAGTTGTATGACAAGGTCAATGCAAAAGAATAACTACGTTATGTTCCAAGGATACGGAGCCTCTTTGGAGAGCGGCGCTGTTCCCTTCACAGCGTTACTGGCTGCTCCAGCAGCTCGTTAAGCAAACACGCCGCTTAATCCCAGCCGTAAAACGGGGCGGCCGGTCAGCAGACCGGGTTCCAGCAAAACACCCCAGCACCAGTGCTTCAGTCCCTCCAAGGTCCAACAGAAAAACCCCAAAGCATCACTATAGCTACACATTTTTGCAGTTACCGGCCCTGCACCCAGCGAAGTGGCACCCTGCCGCGGACACAGACAGAGATCCCCCCCCCCCCCATCCCTCCAGTCACTAACACGTAGCAAGACCCCCACTCACGGAGAGACACAAGCCGTCGTACAGTACAGCCCCTGCCACTTTGCCTCTGTCAGCAGTGATACGAATCCCACGCGTCGCTACTCACCTGACATCTGAGGGAAAACTATAACCAGGGAAAAGATTTATAAAAGAGACAGAAAACTGAACTTTGCGGATTACCCTGACGGAACCCTGACGGAACCCTGACTCATCACACCGGCTGGATTCGCGGACGGCGTTCCAAAAAATAGAACCATTTATAGAAATCACTACGGCAGCGGAATCAACCACTTACAAATGAGATTAAACCGTTTGGATATGAAGTACGCAAAGAAACAGAGCGAGCAGCACAGCGCACTGGGATTCCCATTAGGGACGACCTAGACCTGGCGTAACCCCCCCCCCCCCCGGCAACAGAGCAACTGCACGTGGGCACTAACCTTGTACAGCTTCTGGTAGCGGGGGGACGAGACTGCCATCCTCTGCAGTCTGTGCAAAAAGACCACCACCTTCTGGAGGGAGGTCCGCACCACGGCCATCATGCACAGTTTGCCCGACTTTTGGATGTTGCGGAGAATTTGCATGGTAAACGGGAGGGTGTCGGCCTTATCCTCGTGGCGTGTGCGTGGTCCACCCCCCGCCCACCTCTCCGAGCACGCTTCTACGCATGCCCCTCCTCTGCCAGGGCCGTGCGATCACGCCCTCTCTCACACACACACACACACTCACGCAGACGGCCAAGCACGCACACACAAACACACGTGCACGGCTACAATCGCAGGAGCTGTCGATGCTCCTCCCAGCACCTGGCTTTCCTTTGCCCGGTCAGAGGTCAGAGGTCACAGCAGACGGCGTCAGGTCGGCGAGGTCATCCCGCAGGACAGCGGAGCAGGTCAAACACGAGCGACTACGCGGTTTTAGCGCGCTGGCTAGCAGGGCAGAGGGAACGAGGCGCATCACAGCGTCCCCCCGCCCCGGCGGCAGCTCTCTGGGCTCCAGCTCCGGGACGGCATCGCTGCCCCCCACCCCACCCCACCCCTGGCACCACAGCAGAGAGAGAAAGAGCTAACACACTGTACCGCACCGATTCCCAGGCTTACTCAGACTGACACGACTTAAGAGGGAGAAGGGGAGAGAGGGAGAGAGAGAGAGAGAGAGAGAGAGAGAGAGCACGAACGAATAACAGGGAAAGAATACACCAAACAGAGAGAGAGAGAGAGCACAACAACAGAGAACAAGGGAGAAAAATTAGAAAAGGATGGAGCAGGAGAGAAAGATAGACAGAGAGAGAGAGAGAGAGAGAGAGAGCACCACACAGAGAGAGAAAGGGAGCATGGCAAACAACAGAAAAAAGGTGAGAAAGATGGAGCAGGAGATAGGGAGAAAAAAACGAGATGAAGGGGAGCTGGACTTTAAGTGAGAGACCTGGAGGGACATGGATGGATGCTCACCATGCCTCCTATAATGACCCCCCCCCCCCCCGGGGCATCGCTCCATGTCTGTGCGGAGGGGGGGGGGCACAGACGCCGCCGGCCCCCCTGTTTACCGCATCACATTATTGGGGCTTCATTACACAGCCTGTTCCGAATAATCCCATCCCAGAAGGATGCTGGCCAACTTATTATCGCTCTCACTTTGAAGAATTTCCCCAGTCTTGCCCCTCCCCCCCATTTTGAGCAGAACGTGGTTACATGCAGATGGGTGTTAATATCCAACTTGCCACAAAAATCGCCTCTCCCCCCCCCCACACACACTAAGCAGATTCTTATATAACTGCCCTGTGATCTTATGCAGCCATTGGAGTGTCGAAGCAAACATCACCAACAGGGGCAGGAGCCCACTGACCCCAAAGGAGACCTGGGCCAATAGGGAGCCCTCTGACACACAAAGTATCCAGCAGGGGGCGAAGTCTGGGGCCGGGTCGGGCGGGCGGGATTGGGCCGTGCCTCAGGCCACCTGCTGGCTTTCAGTATGGTCAGTACGGAGAAAAATCAACACATAAATCAAAACAGGGGTATGAGCAGAATCCCTCCCACCAGTGCGTCGCTGACCCCCCTCCAGCACAGACCGCAGACAATCAATCACACGCCAGCACCCCAAAAGGGAATGCAGCCCATCAGACAGAAAAGAGGAGCGCACACGGTCCACCGGGCAGGCGTCAGCGACACGGGGGCCTGTCGTCATTCTGCCATTCCCAAAAGAGCAGGACATCCGGGGGGGGGGGGGGAGTAGATCAACACAGACCACACCGCTCCGCACTCCTCTCAAACGGTGCCGAACAAAACACGTCCCATGTTACACTGGTGGCTCAGAATGCATGAACTCTCCAGACAAGAGTACCTTCAAAGGTCACTTTAATTATGTGCAATTAACTAGTTCTAAACAGTACCTGCCAGAACCGCTCAGGGTGGCCGAGTCCAGCATTGAAGAAGATGCCTTTCCACACACCAAGCTCCTAATGAGCTCTTCTGTCCGCAGTTGTCCCCTTCCCGTCACCATTAACGAGTCTGACCGTTCTCCTCTGACCTCTTAACATGCGGGAATCCCAGAAAGGTGACCGTTTTCGATATGCCGGAAGCACCAATTCCGCCTCCAACAATCACAGCACATTCAAAACTGCTTAGATCAAGCATCTTAGCTATTTTAATGCTTAGCCCTGCAGGAACTGAACCTCTTGACACTGTCTGTGAGCTGCATGCGCTCAGTTTATGCCACATGATTTGCTGTTCTGAGGAGCAGGCTCTTTGTGTTGGCAAGCGGCGATAGACAAACCAGCATATATAATGTCACGGCTCCCCCTGACAGGAGAGGAGATGCACAGAGATACATTTTAGATACCAAATATCTCACGCGCACATGGCGTCCGAGCATCGACTCAGAGAACGGTAAGTTACAGGAACCGATTGTGGTTATCCAAGGCGCAAGCTTGGCGTGTTCACGTTTCAGGGAAATAGGTACTATTTTGAGAGCATGGAATCGTTCTGGGGGGGGGGGACCATCAGGGGGGCCATGGAATCTGGAGTCAAATCCAACTGTTTGAAGCACAGGAAGCACGGGTAGCCCCACCCCCAACCTCACCTCTAGCTCCACCCCTATCTTCATCCCTAGCCCCACCCCCCATCCCCCAGCCCCTGCAAAAAAGGAGCCACAAGCTAGCATGTATTTTGGGGGTTCCTGCCCAAAACATTGCAAATTTAAAACCCGCCTATCAACAGTAGCCTTTGGGTGCAGCAGCCGCTTGCCCCGCCCCCGTAGGGAGTGACCAACCTCCAGCTGGCCTCTCAGCTCTTTGATGGAGGCGGAGTCCTGTGAGAGGTCCTCTCGCTGGGACGCGTCGGCCAGCACATTGGCCGTGGTCTCCGCCTCCTGCAGCCACTTCAGGAAGCTCTCCAGCTCCATGAGGGAGCCCTGTAGGTCCTTCAGCTCGCCCTCTAGCGCCACCTGCTGGTCACTGGCCCTAGTGGGAGCATCAAGTACATTCATCACCTAAACCAGTGTTTCTCAACCCGGTCCTGGAGGTCCCCCAGCCAGTCATATTCAAGGGCCCAGCGGAGGTGCAACTATTCTGCTGAGACTGGGATTTAAATCAACGAGCTTCCAATCAGAGGCACAGAGGCTTAACCTGCCGAGCCAGACACTGCCCTCCTAGAGACAGGGCCCAGTAAGTAAACTGAATCGATTCGCACGGTAAGAGGTCAGTGAAAAGGCCAATTCACCCCAGAACCGTGACCCATCAGACGTAGGCCAGCAAGCTCGTGCCTGAGCCGGGTAGCCGGATAGTGTCTTCCTGTTAAGCGGCCTGTCGTTTATAGTTAAAAACTAATGTTAAGGACTAAATTTAAGGGCTTAAGTTAAGGGCTAAAATTAAAGTCTAAGTTCCACAGTAAGGCGCCCTGATGGCAGAAGACAGATGTTCCAATCCTGGAACACAGACCCATGTCGGGCAGTGAGGCATGTAGCCAGTCCCCAGGGTCCTCGTACCTGCCGAGTATGGCGTTCCACGCCTTGCTGTGAGCATCCAGCATCTCCTTCACCTTCCGGGTATCGTCCGCCGAGTAATCGCGCAGAAGCCTGCAGGACAGCTCGCTGAAGGACACCATGGCCGTCTGGCCGCCCAGGTCCTGCAGAAATGCCTGCGAGACCCAACATCTTAGCCCCACTTACGGGCTCCCCCACGTCCCTCCCACGGTTATTCTGAAACAACCTCACAACCTATTAGGTCCGATTACAATAATATTTAAAAATGGAGCACTGGGAAAAATGTTGAGGGATCATCATCTTTATCTTTATGACAAAACCAGAGATGGCATAAAAGTGACACTTAAGTTCCCTCTGCTGGCGACCAATGGTACGGCATCAACATCACAGGGGTTCATAAGATGTGGATAACTCAATTTCGCTAACAAGAAACTGTTACAGGTGCAGGGGGGGGAGGGGGTGCATTTCAACATCCCTCTTTAACAAAAGCAATAGGAATGACAGTTAGATGCGGCCCCTATGCCCTCGAGCGTAGAAGGCTGGCTGCACGTGATAGCAGAGAACCATGATGGAGGGGGGGCTTTATGGCTCATCAGAGGGAGGTAATGGGATAAACACAGCGCCTCCCCCCCCCCCGCCCATGACCAAAAACACACTGAGCAAGGGGGATCGGCAGCTGACATGCAAAGAGCTTCAGTGATTTCATTTCTGGAAAGTAGCAAATGCACCCAGACAGCAATTTAAAACACATGAAGTGTTTGCATATGAAAATAAATTGATTACTTCTAATTTCAAAAGCATTTTTGTATTGGTATTTGGTGTCAGACATGCATCTAAACAAAGCATGACGTCAGAGGCAGAGCGTGCACGTGACATCAGAGGCAGAGCGTGCACGTGACATCAGAGGCAGAGTGTGCACGTGACATCAGAGGCAGAGCGTGCACGTGGCTGAGAGTGCACATACTGCAGCCTGATCCTCTTGCATTCCCCAAGACCAGGTATGGGTGACAGTGAGGCTCTACCCACAATCCTCTCTTACCTTGTTGTCATTTAGCTGTTTGGTCAGGGATTCCCGGGACGGCTGCAGCAGGTTCTGCAGACGAGCCTCGTTCTGTCTAATCAAGGCTTCCACTTCTTTCCTCTGCTCCTCCCATTGGCTGCTATGACCAATCATTTGATTCAGCTGCTGGAGGCGGGCCTCCACGCCATGCTGCGTGCTATCCCATTGGCTGCGCACCTTCTCCACTGGGAAAACAGGCAGGCCTGGTCAGAAACTGGCCATAACTGCACTTTTCAAGACAGTCTTTAAATTTTATGCCCAGTATTTCATCTTAAAGTACAGGCGAATGGGGCAGATCACTGAAATACAGCAAAGACATGAGCAGTATCTCCCAGAACCACCCAGTCCACTAACACTTCTCTGTGATGGATGTGCGGATATCCAGGTTGGAAGTTTTGTTCTTGATATTCTGGGCCAGGGTAAAGATGTCCTCCAGCTGAGGGTGTCTCTGCTCCAGGTCGTCCTTCGTCTCCTGCTGACACAGGTCTTTGTGTAAGACACTTAATAAAGCCATAAAGGCCAGCATAACTCAGGCCAAGTCATGTAACAAATCAGGAAAGGCTCTTGTGGTTTAGGAAAACCTGCCTGAAGCTGAAGTTGATGCAATTCATCTCAAAACCCTGATTTGAGGCCTCCTATATTTACAGGGAGCCATGTCAGCATTAGGTTTGGGCCGCTTGGACCACATTGGTTTAAGTTAGGGTGCTTTTCCACCGCACCAGGTACCGTACTTTCGGTACTTCCATAAAATACCAAAAGTATGGTACTTCTTTTGTGTCGGTTTTCCACTGGCGTAAAAGCTGGTACCAGCGCCAAATGACATCACCCCAGACTGACATCATCACAAAGCACTGCACGGTATTTATTTTGCTGAATTCAAACATGTTATTATGATCCTTCACTTTCCTGTAGTCCTGCTTAAGTTTTTTGATTTTCAAGCGGCATTGTTGGGGGTTTCGCTTGTGCCCCAATTCTTACAAGCGGCTTGCTGTTATGTCAAATACTTTATTTCGAGTTGTGCCATCCAAATCCGACTGGATCTGTTCATCCGACCATATGGTGATTAAAGCCTGTGTTTCCTCATTTGCTCATCCTTCCACTTTACTTTTTTATATTTTTGTTTCTACTGCTTTTTATTGTGTTTCTCGCTGTTTGCTGTGTGTTTCAAAACATGGCGGTTGTATTTTGTGTTTCAGCGGCAGGCTATTTGCATAACCAATCGACAGCAAATACGTTTGTAAGTCCCACCCCAAAGTACCAAAGAAGTACCCCAGCTGGTTTGGCAGTTTTGGTACTGGAACTTTCGGTACTGGTACTCGACCGGAAGTCAATGGAAAAGCGAAAGTACCGAAAGTACCGTACTTTGTGCGGTGGAAAAGCGCCCTTAGAGTCCACAAAGCACAAATCCAGACCAAGATTTTGTTTCAACCTCTGTGACAGACTCTTTATAGGCAGTTGGTTGCTTAAAAAACACTTTGGTCTGGATTTGTACTTTCTCTACCTGTATTTTCCACCTGTGCTGGACACCATGGGCACAGTCATTAGATCAGTTATTCAACCCCAGAAAGTTAGTTGACAGTCTTCAGTCGGGTTGGGTCGGGTCAGGCTGTACCTCAAGGTGCATGACAATAGTCTGGATATCCTGCACATCTCCCACGGTTGCAAGGTTGCACTTCAGTGTCTGGTCTATGAGCAGCAGCCAACTGGCCAGCTCGGTGGCTCGCTCGTTGAGGTCGGCGGGGGCCACGCGCTCAGCGCTTTGGGGAGCCAAGTGTTGCTGACTGGTCATCGCCACCGCTGCCAAAAGATAGTCAGGCTTACAAAGGTCACCAGGGTAAATGCATCTCATGGGCCATCCCACCAAACCCTGCCAAAGATCAACCCCTCCACAGCTGGATCATCCAGCGCTGTGTAGGCTAACAAGAGATAGAACGTACATAATATGATACACTGATGGTTCATCTGATTTCTTTGATGAACTTCTGGTTTTCTGCTTGCTCTGTGGATTACCTGAGAGGGGTTGCTCAGCTACCTGCTTCGGCATCTCCCGGACCCTCATCTCCAGCACCTTCCAATCAGCTGCCAGCTGCTCCACCTTGCTCTGCGGACACACAACACACACACACACACACACACAATGAAAAGAACCGCTTCATAAACATGCTTTGTATTACATCTTATCGCCAGATGTTCAGTCTTCCGCAGATTAAGTCAGAGGCAGTGTAATCACCTTCTCCTGAGGAAGTAACTGCTGTCGCTTCTGGAGCTGGATGGACCTGGAGAGGAGGTCCTCCAGGTCTCGTCTGTGCTCCTTCATGGAGCTCTCCAGCAGCTGGGGGAACCCCACCGACATAAGTAAACACCAAGGCCCACCTTCCAGAAACAGACTTATGATGTCACACTTCAGCGAGGGTTTCACCTGGCTCTCTTCCGGACCTCTCAGGCTGAGGGTCTCTTGCATGACCAGCATCGAGCTGGTCAAACGGTTCATTTTGTCCTGGAAGAGGGCGTGACCCTGCAGCTCAGACTCCACCTCACCCACTTTGTCCAGAAGCTCCGTCGTCACCTAGACCGAGAGACAGGATCTTCAAATCGACACAAGACCCGGATGTTTCAGGAACGACTCGATAAAATGTTCAGCCACTCTACAGGCTGACAGCACCACGAACGTTACGTGCTGTTGAAAGGCTAACTTCAATCCCCACTGACACGCCTGCACTAAAACGAAAAAGACAGACAAAAGCGTTTGCTTGATTCATACATGGCTCCAGTTCATGTTGACGGCCCTCAGCCGGGACACGTGCTGCTCTCTCTCCTGGCTACTGAGGTCCCGGCTGGCCAGGATGCGCGGCACGTTTTTATTCAGCCAGGTCAGCTGCTCGTTTCGGGCGTCCAGCTCCTCCGCCAGGGTCTGCGGGGGCAGGCACCGCCACACTGGCTCATCCGAAAGGCGCTTCATGCTGCTAAATGCTAGGCGTGCTAGTAAACAGCCAGCTGAAAATCTGCTGAACCCTCAAAAATTTCACCTGAGAATCTTTGGGTCCTAGGAGAACTATATTAGCCAGCTGTTATGTACTGTCTGCTGCTGCAATGTGCAAAGTGCATTATGGGATATAAAGGGGGCGTGGCCATATGTACATTGGCCCATTTGTCATATCGGCCTTCTCTCTGGGGAACAGCAGAGGGTGTTGGGCAGGTGATCGTCCCGGTGAGGAACAAGAGTTGGAGTTCCTCACCTTAAGTTCTTTCAGGTTCTTGTCGCTGGCAGCTGGTGGCAGAGAGCGGACGGCGTAGCCCGTCTGGTCCAACCACACCCTCAGCTCCTCAGTGCGCTGGCTCAGGTCTGCCAGCAGGGGGTCCCCACCGGCCAACCTGGTAATTCAGTAACATATGTAATAGAGGCACACACACACACACACACACACACACACACACACAGCATTCTCTCTCTAGTAGGTCAGATTAAAACACACTTTAGAATCATATTTATAATGCAAAATAAGGTAATGATTTAATTATTATTTAATGGATATTTAATGGATTATTTAAGGATAAACTAGAAAACTAAGGAGAATGTCAATTTATAGTATTTTACTTAAATCAAGATTAAGGGAATACTTTTATATTGATAAATCAGCAGTATGTAGTCAAAGCACACAGACTCTGTAGAATATTACTAGGTATAATTTATAGTCTAGAACTTCCTGCTTTGCATGAATAAAGTTTAAATTTCTATCCATAAGACATGAATACCCAAATGAACGTTTCTGCAATGCTCAGGCAAAAGCCTGCAGAGGACTTAGTCTCCACAGCGTAAAGAGCACTGGATAGGAGCAGCCGCAAATAAATCCTAGTATGAAAAGTATGGAACAGTATGGAAAATGGGTGTAATCATCATCATGATCATCATTAATGTTTAGTGACTTGGCACACTGGTTTATTCAGCTTTCCATAACGAGAAACAGCGGTCACAGTAGAATGTGGACAAACCAGCTTCTTGTTCAGCCTCCCGGTCCTGGGAATCCATAAACACTGGGTGGACACCACCCTTAAACACACCCCAGTCACGAGGCTCACCTGTGGTGCCGCTCCTGCACCTCCCTCTGGATGGCGCTCCATCTCCTGGTGAGGCCCTCCAGCTTCTCCTCCAGAAGGCTGCTGTCAGGGGTTGTGACCTGCTCCACGATGGCCTCGCCCGTCCTGGTCAGCTGGGTGAGCACGGGCTTGTGGCTGCGGAGACCCTCTTCCAGGTCCTGCTCAGAAACACAGGATCACGAGAGGCGGTCTAGCCGCACGCAAGAGCAGCCTGACGCAGACAGGGGGCGCCCTCACCTCCTGCTGCGCCCGGGCCTTCTCCAGGTCCAGGGCACCATCGGGGCCCCAGGAGTCGGCCAGGGCCCGCTCCGCCTCACTCAGCCACTGGCTCAGGTCGTTGAGGTCGCAGTGAAATTGGTGCCACTCTTCCACGGCGCGGTCGAAGTTCCTGCGCACAGAACCCCCCACCGTTTCACCAACAAACCCTCACGTTTTCAACTGGATGGATTAAAATTCCGAATGCTTCTAATATTACTAATTTCTTTATAAGCTTTCACCCCATTTTTCAAGCATATTAAAAATGGAAAAGGCGATAAATTTCCAATCTGGAATGACTCTCCTGCACAAGAACACATACTTTCTACCAACACATTATCACACTGGCACTAACTTGACTGAAAGGGTTTTTAATAGAACATTCTAATTCAGACTTAATCCTAAACTCAGCAGGCAGATGAATTCTGATGAGCCTGAGAAGTAATCGATCTCAATAAGACCAGAGCCATGAGGCCCAGCGGTTCACACGTGCAGAGTTCGCTAAACCCGGTCAGAGAGGGCCGCTGGTCTTCTTGAGGACCCAGATGCTCAGAGACCTGAGGCATCGCTGAGGCGTTTGGGGAACAGCGTTCACAGCTCCGGATGCGAAACACCAGCTCCAGTGTCATTAGCGGACGCCTGAAAAAGCGTTTACCTACTCTGCGCCCCTGGGACACTATGGCGACGGCAAAAACAGCGGGATAAATTTTACTGCTCCTCTAGCAGTCAATACTTCCCACCACGGGAGAAGTCAATCTGTAAAATATGGGCCATCCACCTAATAAATCTGTGTGAGATACAGAGGTGCACAAAGGGGCGGGGCCACAGGGCCCAGCTGAAAGCTGATTGGCCCCTAGAGTACACCTTCCACTGTCACTCATGATTCAAAACATCATTGGCTAATTATAAGGTAGGCATCTCTGCATAAATTATGGCCACACTTATACCCCGTATATAAAAACTCCCTTTTCAGGAAATTAAACTGATAAAGTCTATTGTAAAATTGTAAAAAGGGAATAAAGTGGAGTCAGGCCACGTGCGATGAACGGGGCGGCCTCACCCTTTGCGGTCCTCGTACATCCGGTTGACACGGTCCCACTCGGCGTTCAGCTGGGACAGTGCATCTCCGATGTGCAGCACATCTGCACGGGACGCCTCCTGGACGGCGTCAGGGTGTCGCTCGTGCAGTGTCATCACCTGCTCCTCCAGCTTCTCCAGGCTGTCCTTCACACTCTGCGACCCCGGGTGACCCCGTTACCATCGGCAACACAGTGCATCCCTTCCATAAGGGATGCACTGTATAAGCTAGATCTCACAGAGCCAATAAGCTAGATCTCACAGAGCCAATCCCCCCCACCCCAGTTCCTCATTAAAAAGTCCACCAAACTGCTAAGGTACAGTGTCTGGCTACCGGGCGGCATTTCGCTGGCAGAAAATTGATCTGCTGGGATCGACTACATTTCAGCGGCGTATAAAATGCTCTAAAAGCTGGTGTAGGAGATGCAAAGCAGAGTGTGTAAGTGTCACAGCGTCCGCCTGGTACTGCCCCGCTACAGCGTACACGTAGCCATTCAGACGCCTGCCGTTCTTTGACGTCACCCTGTCGTCTACGCCCAGGCTGGACAGCGGGAACTGTGACTGAGAGGCTCAGCCCATTTACAGGCCGCAGATGGTGCGGAAAGGTGGAGGAGAGTCCAGCAGAGATTGTAGAGATCGCCGAGACAGAGGTGCCATCCCCACCACGAGGAGCCCACTCCAGTCTGGGAAGCGTCGAGACTCTAACGACTTTGCCATTAGTACCAGTGTCTTCTCTCTCTACAGTACTGACTTATCCCACATCATACTCTTGGTGGCCATCTTGGCTGTGAAGAGGAGCCAAAGGGACGCAAGCTGGCCAACCCTCTCTGCCACTGCTCCACCACGGGAACCAAACCCATCTTCTGACCAGCAAGCGAGAAGCCAGGTTGCTGTCGGCAGTTAAGGTTCCCTCACACTCACAGCACAGAAGCAAAGACAACTACACCATCTAACCACTCAGGTAAAAAATAAATAGATAAATATGCATCCAACAAAAAAGCATGTAGGCCAACCTTGAGCGCGTCCTCCTGGGAGGAGAAGTCCTCGTAAAGCCCGCTACTGAGCTCCGAGGAGTTGAGCAGCAACTCGATGTCAGCCATAGCCAGCAGAGCCTTGTTGATGTCCAGAAGGTAGTCGGAGGGCAGGAGGGAGGGGCCCCTCTGCAGCTCGCTGTCCATCGTGTCCTCGGCCCTCCGCCTCGGAGGAGTCTCCAGGGGGCGCTCCATCCAGCTGAGGGTCACCTGCTGCGACACCGGGCCAGCCTGGCGCTCTCTCACTGCACGCAGCTCCTGGAAGATCAAAGTACACAGAACATCTATGTAAGGATTCTAAAGACTTTAAGCCTTTTTAAACTGGGAACCATCAAATGAAAACAACTGGGACTCCCTACCATTAACGTGGCACAAAATTCTCCTAGTATAAAGTAAGTTACATTACATGTTCTCCATATACGTTACTGCCCCTTACAGGCTGACACAGTGAGGTACGTCCTACAGGCAAATGTTCTACCTCAACGATGTGGACGTTCTACAGGTCCTTGAGGAAATGTCCTCTCTTAAAGCAGCGCAACCACATGGTCTGATCTCCATGGGGAACATGTACCAGAACATTCCACAGAGCTCATTTGACTGTCAGTGACTCTCACCTGCAGGCCGGTGTAGCGCGTCTGCAGCCGGAGCAGCCGTCTGCGCAGCTCGTCCTTGCCATCCCCGGTCATCTGCAGGAGGATCAGCTCACCGCTCCGCAGTACCTCCTCCACCCGTACCTTCTCCTCGTCCATCTGTGGGGGGTGGGGCATCATTCTGAAGTTACCTACAGCTGGCTGCTTGCATTACAGAGATCCACCCCCTCCCCTACGCAGAAGCAGCACTGGCAACACTGAAGTGCAACACTTCTAGCCATGGACCATGAGTGTCTCCAAGGCTTAAGCTGAGCCCTGCACTGGCCTCTCCATTCAGCTTCTGAAGCAACTAACAGAGGTCAAAGTCTAGCGCTGAATTTTAAGAAACGGCTAGGAGGTAAGAATGCAGTCGAATCACACGTCCCGGAGACTAACGCCCGCTTACAAACCAAGTTAGTTCTCAAGTGTCAAATACAAAGACGACTGCTATTGTGCCTCTGATCAGACGGGCGCTGGTTCAAATCCCAAGGTTGTAGTGATTTCACCGCTGGGCCCTTGTGCGCCGATTGCTTCAGAAACTGTCTGACCTGCTTTCTCCGGATAAAAGCACCCAGTAAATAATAAATCGTTGCTCTTGAACAAATATGACAGGAGCCTCATCCTCCACTGAACATTTCTGCAAATTCCAACGTTTTTTAAATAAGTTTGTGTTCTAACCGTGCACATGAATGCATACACGGTGTCATTTTCAATATGAAAAGCTTAATGATGCATGGTGAATAATGCGAGTACTACCCACGCTGCCTGCTGCATAATGCGAATTCACCCGTAAGTTACGACCGTGCACTTCGGTTTGAATAACAAGGCCGGATAAAGTGAAGCATTTCATCTGCTTAGCATTCACTTTGATCAGAAGCCGTTACCGTCTCTCCTCCGCTACTCGGGAGGACGCGTCCCTGCCGGTATCCTGACCGGAAATCTGTTGCATTTGTATTTCTTACCACGCTCCTCTCAAGATAGACGCTATCCAGCTGCAGCACCGCAGAGGTAAACCAAACCAGATTTTGTCAGTTTACGAGAATTTAATCCTTGACACTTGTTAAATTTTTAATGCTCCTGTTCAGGATTAAGTTTCGTGGTTGTTTAAAAGGCTGCTTAAAAATAATAATATTCAAATTTAAAAAAAGAACAACAGGCCACGGCCTGCAAGAACCACATCTGAGAATAAAACTGATGATTACACCACCCGCCCTCCCCCCCCGGAAGCCCTCACCTTCTCGTCATCCTGGGCCAGCAGTTGCACGTACTCGCCCTGGGGATCAAGTGCACCCAGGCTGGCCGTCAGCTCTTCCTCAAAGTCCTGCAGCTGCCTGGCGGTTGCAGCCCCCGGTGCCGGAAGCTTCTGAGGCTGCTGATTCACCTGGGCCGCCGGCTCCAAGGTCGTGGACATCTGCAGGCAAGAGGTAAGTCAGAAGGTGGCACTGTGGTTAAGGAGCTAAGGCAGGGTGCTGCTCCTGGGTTCTGAATAAAGAGCATCTTCTGCATAATGAACAAATAATGAAAATATGGGTCATTTTCCACACAAAATTATACAATGAAACCACAGAAGTCTTCATGATGGTCCTTCTACTGAGGTGAATCAAACGCCACTGGACCCCTGTACCCACAGAGGTGGCATCACTGGACTTTTTGTATTTCTACATCACTGGAGTACCCTACCCTGCCTCAGCACCCACCTTGGCAGCCTTGATGTGCTGGGAGACCTTATCGAAGTTACGGTTGAGCTCGGCCAGCTTGGGCTCCACCACCTCTCTGCAGGCCGGTCCACGGCCGCTCATGAGGATGACGGCCTGGTCCCTCACACTATCCACCCTCAGGCTGATGTCCTCCAGCTCCACCAGCAAGTTCTGGGTATCGCGGGGGTGGGGGACCACAGTGATCACACCTATCAGCTTCAGATCACTTCCGCCCCCCCCAGCAAGCAAAGATGTGTCCTCCGCCTCCTCACCTTAACAACGTCTTCCTTCTCAGAGGGTGTGAGCTTCTCAGTTTCATCCAAGTGGATCTCAGTCTGGTACAGCCAGGTGCTGATGTGGGCCAGGTTCTCGTCAAAGATCTCCATTTCATTTCTGTGGCTCTGCAACACACAACACCACCACAGTGTAAGTGACTGGCACCAGGCCCAAAAATCAGATTCATACTCTCCTGTGGCTTAGTTTGCTGACAGCACAGCTGATGAAACACAACCTCTGCTCAGGAAGGTCACCTCTGCAATGGAGAAATTTCTCAGGAAACTGTGGTGGGGGTCGGGGGGGGAATATGTCTAACCTACATCTTGTCTGCAATTAAGGATTTACAGTTTCACTACCACACAAAGAAAGCATCCAACACAATTGCAGTCTTCATCCAGCTTTGAGTGTTAAACATATCCAAATAGATGCAAAAAAATACCCCATTTACCCAAAAATCAGGACAGTTTTTTTAAAACTTTCCACGTTAATTTTTTTGAAGTGTGACTTGCAGTGCACCTTTCCAAAATACACAACTCTGCTATATTTTCACTCACTAGGTCTACCCTCTTATAATTGCCTTTTACAGTGTACAATGTACAAAAACACCAAACACGTCGATGACAACTAGAAGGCGCAAAAATAAAGCTATTCTGGTATACGGTTCCTGTAATACCACCCAAACCTAGTTAACAGTCAACACGGTCAGTACAAAGCTATGCACTGCAAAGATCCTAGTCTGTCTGCCAACAGTCCACAGCCCAGTCAGCAGGAATACGGGACTCAGTCACCTGACAGAAATCGGACACCATGTTCATTCTAATGCATTCTTTTTAACATATAAACCTTGGATTACCAATGGGCTATTTTAAAAATCTCGTTGCCTTAAGCACAAATTCATGCTCTCAGCACGGCTGGAAAAAGGGTAATTGGAAACATTTCGCTCTGAACAGCATTCTCCTGCTTTTAAATTTTATACGCTAAAGCAGCTCAGGATTTAGCACCAGAGTCTGATAGGAAATGACTTAAAAAAAAAAACACATTTGGCTGAAAATGTTCCGCTTTTCATATTAAAACAAAGCTTGTTAAAATCACCTTGCCGCAAGGCTACATCAACATACCTACTGCATCATAACTGCACTCACCAGCACAGTGGTTCATTTAGACTTAAAAATTACAGTTTTAAAAATGCACAATTAAATATGCTGGAAAAACACAAAACTCACATTTCGAATGCTAATTAAACAGCATTATGTTGCTCCGGGTGACACACTAATGCACCCAGATTTCTGTCTCAGATGTCAGACTTTAGTTTCTGGTTACTCAGGGTTTAGTTGAGTTTCTCAGCCTAAAACTAATCCTTCTGGCTATAGTGTGTGTCAACAGATGAACCTGAAAAACCGTGTTTTACCAAGCCTCCCCATTACTGAGCACACATTACTTGTTATTAATAAAGTGCAAAATGTTTCATTTTGGGGAAATTAAATGAACTATTTTAGTTCTAATTAAAGCCTGGGATTTAACATGATACTTCAAACTCCCGCAGACTCTGAATCCACATTCCTGGTGGCTTCTGCTTTCTGCCCATCTCTGATCTACCATCCAGCCTGATCTCCTCACCCAGGACCAACATTTCATAACCGTCCAAAAGCTCCAGTAAGGCAGGCATCAAACCCACCAGCACGCTGCTCAGCCAGTCCTCTGCCAGGGTGCGAACCCGCACCCAGCTGGCGTTCAGCAGGCACAGACCCTCCTCCAGCTCCGTCTCGCTGCCTTCCACCAGCGACTGAAGGGCGGCGCTGCACTCCGTCACGCTGCGCAATTCCCCCTCCTGCCGCTCCAGCTCCTTTAGCAGCCCCTGGGGAGGGCAAGAGATGCATGATTAAAACTGGGATTTAATGTCAGGCTGGGGGGGTAGGATATCTGGCACTTATCTTAGCATCATATCCACAGAACTAAATATTGATCCAAGAGAACAGTTCTGGTCTAAACAGCCAGCTCATAATATTTCCTGTAATACAACATATAATGCACAATAACGTCCTAGTAAAAGGGTAAATGTAACCGATAATGCATTTCCCTACATATGACACTGCCCCCTACAGGCTGACATGGTAATTCTGCGTCACTCACATGGGCCCAGGCCACCTCATCGTCTATGTCAGCTGGCATGCTCCCGGCAGATGTTTTCTGGTCAAGCACGGCCTCCGTGGTCCCCAGCCACCCCCGCAGTGCGGCGCTATCTTTCTGCACCTTCTGAGACAGGGACAGGGCCTTCTCCAGGTCCTGTTTGCCCTCTGTCACCTGGGAGCAGCATGGTTTTATTTAATCAGCCAGAATGTGCAGGGTGCTTAAAGGGTCGGCGTGGTGGGCGGCGACTAACCTGGGCGCCCAAGTCGTTGTAGAGCAACTTGAGCGCGGTCAGCTGTTCATCCATACTCTTGGGGTTCTCCGTCTGCTGCTTCTGCACGATCTGCCGACCTGTCTTGATCACTGTCTCCACCTCCAGCTTCACCTCGCTCAGCACTTTGTAGAGTTTCTGTTTGGGAGGAAAGTGGGTATGTGAGGGTCTGACTGGGAATGGGTTGATGCGAGACAGACAGAGATAGATAGGTGGATACAGACAGACAAGGCAGTGCAAAGATTATATATTTACTGCATTACAGGAATGCATATATGAATTAATAAAATAAAGGAGTGTGCATGTGATGCAGTCGTGCATTATTTCAGGAGGTTCAGCAGAAGGGAAGGTTGGGCATACCATGCACAGGCTCAGGAGGTCATGCAAGTCAGGGTGGAGTCTGAGGCTTACCATGCACTCGCTTAAGTGGGCCTGGATCTCCTCGGGCTCTACGCTCCTTGCGTCCAGCACGTGTAACTCAGCCTTGGCACCCTCCAGCACGCGCCGGCAGTCCAGCATGCGCTGCTCGAAGTTGGCTGGCTTCTGGAAGAGCTGGAACTTGGTGGAGATCTCCCGGAGCTTCCTCTGAAGGGAAGGGGCACGGGATCTCGCCGTTAAGGACCATGTGACCATGGATGAAGCAGGCAAGGTCAACATCCGACCGACCAGAGAAACAGCTCACATCTCTGGAGTCACTCATCTGTGGTACAGTTGGGCTTTTAATGCCTTAACAATTAAGAATTTTTATGTTACGTTAAATCGGCTGTTATTGCCCTGTCACGTGTTGGTTTGAACCAGACCCAACAATAACCCCAAAGCAGGTGCAGCAGCCAACCTGCAGCTGGTCCAGCATGGTGCCCCCCCGGGATGCCTTTCCGTCCTGCGACGCAGCCGGGGCCCCTCTAATGCCCTTCTTGCGCAGCTCATCTACCTGTGACTCGAGGGTGGCGATCTCCGCCTGGATGTTCTGTGAAGAGAACGAGGAAGAGTCATGCACAGGACATCGCTCCACAGGAGAGTCTTAATTTAAGCATGAAGCGCTGACAGCAGAAGATTCCTGTTGAGCGAGACGTAGATGTAATCAGCCGGACGTATCCTCTGCTCTGAGCTTATCAAAGTGAGACATGAAAATGCTGAGGTCATGACCCTCCACACACCTGTTACCATGGTTTCCATGCCACCTACATAAAGCATCTATGGGAGCTGAGTATAACAGAAATAATACAATCGGCTGTTTGTTGAAATCACGTGGTGTTGTCTGTAGAGGGCGCCCCATTCCTGCATACCTGGGCCTCTTGAGGCAGCTGGAAGGCATCAACCCGATCGGTGAGATAGGAGGTGAGCGTCTGGTCCAGCCGGCCGAGGGACTCCTGCAGAGACTGCAGGACCTGCTCGTTTTCCCGCAGTGTCTGCAGCTGCTGCTCCAGGGATATCTGCCTGCTGACCGCCTGTAGGGGGCGAGAGAGAGCTTGAGCAAAGGCCTTATGACCTGGTCACCCAGCATGTACAGTACAACACAGGGCACTTCAGGTCAAGCACAACATGCAGTGCATCACGTTCCCCTAACCAGTCAGCACAGAGGGCCCCTTCCTCCCCCCGTCTCCCCTCCTCCCACACTGCACACTGGGGGGGGAGGGGGCTGAGCTCTCTGACCTGGTGGCTAAGCTGCTCGTAGCGGCTAGTGAAAGCCTCTAGTTTCTCGCTGATGATCTCATCCAGGATGCCACCATCAATCAGTGTCTGGCCCAGCTCCCGGATCTGGGTGCGGTTGTCACTCGGGTGCCGCAGGACCGATTCCAGGGCCTGCGGAAATTTCAGGAAGTGGGGGGGGGGGAGGAGCAGAGTATCCGTGGGAGGGAGTCAAAAGAAGTGATCAGCCTCCGGGAAGCTCAGGATGAACACGATAGGAAAAGCTGCTAGAGCAATGATTCTCAACCCGCGGGCCCTGGCAGGTTCTGAAAAGGTAGTGAGGCAGAGCTGGAAATGTAAGCATTTTAAAACCAGCAAGCTCCTCTGATCCACGATCAGATTTCCCAGCCACAATCCTAGAAGCAACCCATATAAATGGGTCTTAGGTCTGCAACTGCTTAGCGCCAAACTAGCACACACACTCAACCAATCCGAGAAGCCAAACTACAGATGGTTAATTTAAAATTCACTGGCACATCCAGTCAGATATGTGCGATAGGCATTGATTGGTGCTTGTTCATAGCATTAATGCAAAGCTAAACTCAATGTAGGGTCACGATTGAACTGGCATGGTAAGAATTGGGTCGCAGTGCAGAAAGGTTCAGATCCACTGACATACAGGTTCAGTGGTACGGCGGGGGCTCTTTGCTGGGGTGAAGCCCACCTCTAGTGCCTGGTTGACGTCCTGGCTGTTCTCTGGAAGCCCTTCGCAGGCTTGCAGTCGCTCCTCCAAGCTGTTGAGCCAGTTGTTCTCCAGGTCCAGGTACTGTAGCAACTCCATCCAGCAGGACCACACCTCCTATCGCGGCAGACACAGGAAGGTCATAAGACACACCTACCCATGCAGGCCACGCCCACTGTGTCACACACAGGACCCATAGCCCATAGCTACAGGTGATGCCATGCAAGACAAACCAACAAGCCCATTCGTTCACAACACAACAGGAACCCAATACACACTAACAAGCCTGTGGCATTAAACCCTGACATACTGCTTGCTACAGCATGTTCAGGGATATCTGCTCTCTTTGAACATCCAGCCGCAGCGCTATAAAGAGAAGTTTAATTAATTTCATGATTTAACAGCAATGTTCTATCTTTCTCTGGGGTCAGCCTGCGCACACGAAATAGAGGCTGCTACGCTAATCATTTGATAATGCAGACAAATCATCACATTGGGCTTACGGTCTTTCAGAGACTCTTTTAGTTTAGGACTTTTATTTCTGCTAAATGGTTCTTAAGAGTTACACCGTTTGCATTCGTTTGTGGATCTCCTTCTTATAGGATACATTTTAAAACAGGGGTTTGTTTGCTCAGCTCCCCTTTTTAAGCCGTACCTCCAGGGTGTGACATTTGCTCCTGAACCTCTCGCACAGTTTCTGGTAGTGCTTCAGAACCCCTGTCAGCTCTGTAGTTAGGTCCTGGCCACCAGGGGGCGACTTTGCCATCAGCAGGTTAATGCTGTCCTTCAGAATCTTCACTCGCACCTCCTTCTGCAGCACGTCCTCTTTGGCCCTCTGCAGACACACAGAGGCAGAGCATCGTCACGGCAACCGTGCCCCGTCACCCCCTTCCCGAAGCCCTCTACTGGACAGGGTGGGAACAGTTAGGTCTGTTAAGAGCGTGGATCTTGCCCTCACATGACATGGCGGGTATTCACACACACAGTCTACTAAACAGCACATCAAACATTCAACACAATGTGATTCGGTATCGGCTCCATATGATTCAATACAGTTCAGATTTGACAATTCAGATCAGTTTAGCAATGCACTGAAGTAATATATTGGATCAGAGTATTTTAGTGTCTCATTCCTGATGTAAAAACATAAAAAGGTTCTTCTAAATAACTCAAAAGATGGCATTTGTCATAAGAAAATTGACAGTAACATGCAATGAAACTGGTACTGCTTATTCGTCACAGCAATATGAGCGGAATATTGATTTGTGACGGCTTTATCGATTATTGGTTACTTTCATTCCAAACTTCAGCTGGGGGTTTAAAAGCGATCGACATATTATGCACTTGGACTGGATTTCCTGTTTGTCACACCCCCTCTTACATCTCCACCATGCCACCCTAACCCAGACCTCCTGCTGGCTACCTTACTGGCTGCCAGCTGTTGATTGGCATCTCATTGGCACATAAGGGTCACTTCCTCTCTCTCAAACCGGCAGAAACGTACACGCACACACGCGTAAAGAGGCACATGCTGGCAAGGCAGCCCCCGGCCTCGCACCTTCATCTCCTCCAGAGCTCCCTCCAGATCTTCTGGACTCTTGTACTCAAAGTCCCTCATGAGGAACTCCTCGTCCACCTGCACCATCCACTCCCGCATCTCCACCAAGTCCTTCTTCAGGTTCAGCGTCCTCTCCTGGGTCTCCCACGCATGCTCCTGATGTTTCTGCAGCTGGGGGGGGGGGCAGTACATATGTTACAAATGATCGATCTATTAATTACATGCATTCTGACGCTGTATTCAAGATGATACTTCTCACATTATCAAACATTTTTGCCCCCCTAAAAGGGATATTTAGGTTCACAAAAATGCATGAAGAGGAACACGCCAGGCCCTGCTGCCCGTACCTGTGTGCTCAGCCTGTCCCATCGCCTCTGACACTCCTCGAGCTTAGGTTGCCCCCATGTGGCCAGCCCGGGCATTGCGCACGCCCGCAAGGCTGCCGCGTCCCCGACCACCTGCTTCAAGTCCGCCTCCACAGCCTCCATTTCATTCACGAACTCCTGCGGTGGGATATGGGGGGTGGCGATGACATCAAAGTGGCATCTGTCACCCTTTCAGGGGTCAATGCGGGACAATCAAAAGCCAAAAAACAAACAGAAAGTCCCAACTGCCGACCCTTGGAAAGCTGTCATATTGATTACGCTCCCAAAGCTCTTCATTGCTGATATGGCAGCACAGAGACCAGCCCATCGATGTTAATCACGACCGTGGTCTGTTCAGAAACAATAACTCCCGAGCCTGGCACCGCCAGAAGAGCCCCCCCCAACCCCGCCCCCACTGACAGGCCTCTGAGGGCCTGGAAGCAAACAGGCCCCCCCCCGCCAACCCCCCACCTCTGCATGCTGCAGGAAACACAATATGAGCTGTGCCCAGTGCATGCTGGGATACACTCCATGTTACACTGCATATTCAGCCTCTTTCCCTTAAGTAATCTAAATTAACGAGTTGCTTATTTTATGAATTTCATATTGCTTGCTCAAATAGCGACCACAACACCCCCCCCCCCCCCCCCAATGATAGGTGAGGTAATCGCCTACCGTGCATTGGTCCAGCTCCTCCTGCAGTTTCCCAGCATCCCCTAGGGCACCAGTGTCCTTGGTCATCAGCGCCTGCACGCCGTCTAGCCAGCGCTCCACCCGCGCGATTCTCTCCTGCCGGCAGAAACATCGGGGGGGTCGGTGAGGGGGCCCCACCCCAGGGCGACAACTCCGGAGGTTTTTCCATTCGTAGCGACAGGACAGCCGCATTACAGCAGAGGAACAGAGGCCCATGTGTGGTTATGCAGGGAGTGTCACGGGGCGCCGTACCTCCGAATCCTTTAACTTTCCAAGGACCGACTGCGACATCGCCAGCTCAGCCTGAGCCTGGCTGGCCAGCTGGCCCCACCTTTCGGGGTCGGAGGTCAGTCGCGGCTCCAGAGACTGGCACAGGGCCTATGGGAGAGCAGCCGCGGGAATTACAGCTAGCAGCCACGCAAAATCATTACAATACGCACCGCCGCTGATCACATGACCCAGAAAGCTATGCTGGCAGGTACGGACAGTGAAATCCATCACGATGTTCATCTCTTAATTACCCAGAATGCAGCTCATCCACGAGCGCAACCAGCATGACCTTGCCATGAAAATCACTCCTCTCCCAGCAGACCCACTTGGGAAGGGCTGCGACGTGCGATTCTCTCCCTCCGGATCTGCCTTTGCGGTGTTCTGGAACATTACCTCTGCACTCCGCACCGCTTCCGCGGCCGTCCCCTTGTCCACGACGCCACCCCGCAGGGACGCGATCCGGAGTTCTGCTTCCTGCACAAAGCGGCGGTCCTCCAGGGCGGGCCGGGCAGCCAGGGCTGGAACACAAACCGACAACTCAGGAAAGCCGTAAAAGAAAGACTGAGTCACAGTCAGCATCCGAACCAGAAGCTGAATTAGACCCTCACATAAAGGTCAATGCCACTGAATTAGAATGAACAGGATAAAATGCACAACTCCAGGTAAACTTTGTAATTTAATTTATTTTGCCTATTTTTGTACGTTTCAACTTGAATGAGCTGCAAACGCCGAAAACTGCCACATGGGGGCGCACAAGCTCCTTTTGGATGACCTAGATTGCAAGAATGTCAACACTGCTTTCGGAATATAATTACAAGCTAATGAAAACAAACAGGAGAGACGGGCTTTCCGTTGCGGGACTTAATTTAAATAAAAAGTGCGGCCGTAAAGTTTCCCGAGCTGCACGTCTCGCTAAGCAGTCGCACAAATCACTCGGCGGATTCTGACAAGGAGGTCTATCTTCTGCACGTTCTCCTTCTCAGCAAACCCGGAACCACAAAAAAAAACCTGCAGGTGGTGGATCATCCACCTTCAGACAGACCCGTAACTGTTTTAAATCCATGACTCAGGAACCATGCAGTCAAATATTTTCAGTGGATTACATCTCAGCGTTCTGGGACACAAACACAGCATTCATTACCTCCCTCCAGCCCTCTACAAAAAAAAAAAAAAAACCTAAGCGTTTTGAAGCCAAATTTTACTCTGCTCCCTTTTCAAACTATGGAAGGATTCCAGAAGCATCCACCTCAGAAAAGTGAGGCCATCGGACGTTGAGGCAGTGGTCAGTAACCAAGCGGAACCGTAGGAGGTCTGTCATTACTTCCCTGCGGGCTCGTTCAGGCCCGGCCCAGGCGCAGCACATGGGTTTGGCCGCCGCCCCCGGCATCCCAGCACGTTCTGGCCTGGCTCCAGACCTTAGGGGCCTAGTGAGCGTCTTTCCCTTCTAAGGTCAGAAAGACAAATGTTTTTCTGTTCCCAGCCTCCCACCAACGGTCTCCCGAAATGGAGAGATGAATTATAAAGGGCCGCCGCTGGTTTTGAGGATGGGTTGACCCATGACCGTGTGTCACGAATTCGCCGCTGCGTTTGCTCGCTTTTCCCTCTGGCTGGTCTCTTCAAGAAACGGCCAAACTGGTCGTCGGCCATCTTTGAAACGCTACACTGCGTGCCGAGGGCTCGCTGCCGATTGCTTAACCCCTGAAAGAACCTACCTGCGTGTAACTCCTGCGCCTGCCTCTGCAGCCCCTCCAGCACGGAGGTGCGGCGGGCGCCGAGCGCCGCTACTCCGGCCCGCAGGGAGGCGGGCGTCTGCTGCTCGCGGCCCAGCGCCATCGCTTCACGGGACAGCCGGTCCATCTGAGGGCCGAGGGCCTGCAGCTCCCCTCTTCTGGCCTGTAACAGAGACAGACGGCCGGCGTCAGATGGACCCCCAAGCTTCAGCTCACCTTCAGTATGTCTGAACACCCAGTTCCCCAAGACTGTCAAACATCTACATCCCAACAAAGTAAAATCATATTGCTCATTACAGCATTCGTTTTCAGTTAACCCCCTTTGTTTTAAAATGGAATTAATGTTTATGTAAGGTGTTCACAGGTTTTCATACAAACAAATCAAGTCACTACATTAAACAATAAGTCGTCCAAGGCTTGACAGAAAGCAGTTTTACGCCTTGGCTACTAAATCAGGCAATAAGTACATGCTGATCCTGCAGTGTACAGGAACCCCCCCCCCCAAGGCTGAACATCAATCAGTCTTATTTCCTCAAGCAGGGGTTAGGTGGGGGTTGGTTACCAGCTGGACGGAGTGTTTTAACTCGCTGCCCTATAACTGCCCCCCCTCCCAGAACAAGAATCCATGTGGCGCCTCCTCGCTCTCAGAGTCTGGACCACGCCGGAGAGCAGCAGCCAGAACCGGCGCTTAAAGACCTGCTGCTCGTATTTCTCAGGAACTGGGGGTTCCTGCCAGGTGGAACGCGGATAACAGGATCTGCTGACCTCACAGGTCGCCAGCTGGGAGTGCAGCTGGGCCTCGTCGGCGGCGGAGTCGGCCTTTGGCGCCCCCTGCAGGCAGTCCTCCAGCCCGCTCACGGCCTGCTCCAGACACCGCAGCTCTAGTTGGGCGGCACCGACCCGCTCCTGGAGGTCCAGCCTCTCCTTTAGGTGCAGGAGCAGCCCCCGGCTGCTCTCCCACTCCGCCTGGACGGCGGCCAGACGGGGGCTCAGGTCTCCCGCGGACAGGCCCTCTGCGGGGGCAGGGGGCGGCAACAGGTTTCATGAGGTTAACACACCCAATATGGATCTGAAAATGCTACCAGATGTCCGCCAACTGTTCATGTACCAGACCAAAGTGATGCTTCATGATTTGTTTGTCATGGTTAACTGTGAGGCTGAACATGCATTGGTATCATATGGTTTGAATTCTATCACGATCGTGAATCCTAGTGAATATCTGCACCACAGGCAGACTCACTTCAGCCTACACGTCTCACTGGTACCAGTATGAGTTGCTGCTCTGTATCTATGCTGACCCACTAAAAATGGCTAAAGGCTGCACTTAGTCTGGAGGGGTTTGTACAGGAGTAAGTTTCCACGGATGTTACGTTTCGGGTCTCTTACTAACTGTCCTATTACAGTACAGGTGCAGACGTTATCCTGAATGCTCTGTGCTTGTAAAAATAAACATCAAAGCATGAGTAGTGTGTTCAGAAGTTGTACCTTTCTTCAGTTGCTCCAGCAAGGCCTGCCCCCCTAGGGTCACACTGGCCACTTCAGGGGCTTTCTCCTCCAGTTGCTCTTTGAGAACCTACATGGGGTAGACCAAAGAAACATATCACAAGAAAGCTGCATTGCCACCTAATGGCCTGGAGGCTAAATGCATCAGGAGACAAAAACTGCTGTGTGCAGATTTTTACCTTCAGCTTTTCCTTTAGAACAGACGTCTCCTGGGCCTTTTCGTCATTCGTCGGAACCAAAGCCTGAACAGAGGTTTTCCATCTCCCTATCCAGCTCATGATCTCCACAAGGTTGCCTTCCATCCTAAGCAAGAAGAAAAAGATCATTCATTGAAGGAAAGTCACCACGTTTAGAAGTAGAAACCACTTTGAGAGGCTTAAGGACGAGCTGCAGCAGTCAGACTGAGCAGCAATCAGTGCTGGTTTCCAGCGGTAGCGGTAAGGACAGCTGACCAGCCTCTCAGCCTGGTCACTGGGCAGTGGTCACTGGGCAGTGCCCGCAGCTTACAGCGCCCGGGCGTCCTGGTCTTCTTGCAGCTGCCGTTTCTTCATGGGGGGAGGGGGCGGCAGCTCTTGGGCCGATGCCCGCCCCGTCATGGTGGCTGCTGCGGTCACGGCCGACATGGAGGTGACGCTCTCCAGGACGGCGGTCTCATCTGCTTGGGGCAGCCCCACCTCAGTCAGCGACTCTGCCAACTGCAAGAGTGAGTGTCTTAAATATATAAGTGTCCCACTGCATTCCTCAAAGCCTTGTACAGCATCACAGGTCACCAGCAGCATGTAAATTATAAACAAAATAAAAAAGGGCAGAAAGTTAACCTCAAATCTGAAAGGGGGGGGGGGGCTTTACAGTGCTGTTGGTGATCTGCAGATGACAATGATGCAGCATCATGACTAAAAAGGTGCAAAAGTCCCACCACTGGTCGCAAGTGACAAGCATCCATTCACACAGGATTCCAAACATCACCCCCCCACCCCGGTTCCAGACGACAACAGGACAATTAACACGATGGTGAGAAATGAGGGGACCTGGCAGTTGAACCCCAGGGCAGGTGAACAGACAGTAGGTCTGGACATAATGTTCAAGCGTTAGTGGAGAGAATGGGTCTCTTTGGACAGAAATCTGTATATTATATTGTATTATATTGTATAATTACACTACATCTACCTCATATTCACCCTCCATGAATTCATCACCAGGCAGGTAGGATATTCACAGGTAGAATTTCACTGCGGTTTCACTGAAATGAAGGTGCGTGACTCCGATAGAAGTGTTTACTGTGCTGTACGTGCCACGTATCAAATTAAACTGACCTAAAACGGCAGTAATTTAACAAGCTAAAATAAAAATGATTTCAAAGAAATTAACAAGTGGTTGTGCACTGCCCTGTGCCACTGCGTGACCACACTGCACCTGGGAAGGGCACATGCAGTGCGCGTATTTCAACAACAACAAAAAAAGGCAGCAGGAGCTTGATTTAAAGTGAATAATGTGCACACTGCCCATCTCATTATTCCAACTAATCCGAAACGTAAACAGTGAACAAAGTGGAAGCGTGTGCTTTTGCTCTTGAACTGCAGAGAGCTACAACCACGATCGAAATCATCAGCTCGTGGCAATGGATTTTCCAAGTGCCAGACAGTCTACACGGACGGGGGAGCGAATCATTGAATGTTCGTCATAAACAAGCGAATCCAATTCAGCTGACAAGAATCTGCATTGGGAACAGCGCTAAAACAGAACGGCTTCCAATGACCGAGTTAAAACTCTGATGGTACAGGAGACCCTCAGGAAGACTAACCTGATAGGAACAGTCCTCCAGCTCCTGCACCAGGTTGTCCCATCTCTGCGTCAGTTCCTCCGTCTGGCCCTGGATCCGCTGCGTGGCCTCGGTGCTCCGCAGCAGCAGCGACACGTCCTGGCCGGCGTCCGACAGGTGGTCCAGCGTCCTCCGCTTGTTCTCCATGTCCTCCTTCAGGAGCTGCCAACAGAGGGGTCTGCAGTCAAGCACGCAGCCAGAAAGCTGGGCCATAGTGACGGGACACGGCGGGCACCGCGAATCAGCAAGTCCAGGGCCAACGAGACTAAACGACCAGATAAGACGAGCGTGGCAAAGCAGCGTGACGACACTCACGGCCAAAGTGCGCACACTGACGTTGATCTCGCCGGGATCCTTGAACTTGCTGGTCTGAACCTCTCTCAGGATCTTCTCCTTCTCTGATAGCCAGGCTTTGAAGAGGTTCTAAGAAGCAAAAAGCCACCATATTTTACAACTCTTTTCCAGTCACAGCATCTAGCGTGCTGGGTAAACTCACAGTACAGCCACACCCACAGCCACACACATGGCACCATGCATGTCACCAGCACATGTTTTTAATTTGCTGGATTATTGCATGGAGCCGGGAAGGCCTACAAAGGAACTCGGAGGACATTGAGGACACAGGAGAAGCAGAACAGTGGAAATTTACAGGCTCGTCAAAGGAGCGCCCCCTTCAGGAAGACAGACAGACAGACAGCTGTGTACATGGACCCCCCCCCTCACCTGATCCTCCAGGAGCTGCTGCCACACGTTCAGCATGTCCTGCAGCTTGTGCCAGCGCTCCTCTGTCCAGCGGCACACGGCGGCCCAGCGCTCACCCAGCGCCTACACGTGCACACACGCACACGCACACGCACACGCACAAGCTCAAGGTCAGCACACACATCTGGCTGGTTCTGCATAGCAGTTCCTGGCAGTAAGACCCAACAAATTAAGTAAAATTGAGTAAAATTACACATTAAGCTTCGGGCACATTCCTTTGGGGCAAGTGGTGGTGGTGGTGGGGGGGGGGGGGGGGTTATCCCAAGTTCAGCCGAGAAGGGACACCAGCATCCTGACTCAGCTGACCTCCCAAAAATACGTAGCAAGCACTGCGCCCCCCCTTGGGAAAGTGACTTCAACCTTTGTTTTGTTTAAAAACCCAAGTGGAAGACAAATCATAAACCCAAAGGTTAAAGTCCCTTTATCCAGCATGGAATTTTGTACAAGTTAATTCACATCCCTCCCTTGGAGTGGTTGAGTGTGTTAGGTCTCCATTATCAGAAGGTCACTAGTTTGAATCCCATCGTTGGCCTGACTCTCAACTGTATACGTGTGTGATTGTGTCTTTAAAAAAAAAAAAAAAGAAAAAAAAAGTGAACCCAATGGGATAAGCGGAAACTAACTGCACTCAGACCTGTGCAAGGGGCAAAATAAAGCTGTTTTCCCTCTAAGATGCCGTCATTTAACCTGCAGTTGGTCCTCCAGCGCTGCGGTGGCGTTATCGCTGCTGTTCTCATCCACAACCACCACCATGTGCGTGAGGGAGTTCACTTTCACCTGCTCCGTCTCCAGGTCATTCTGCAGCACCTGTCAACAGGAAAATCAATGTCGGGGTCATCGTCACACTCTGAATGAATTTATTCTACCAGAAATGTTAACAGAAATAACGGTTAATATCCTGAGACATTGGGATTGTTATAAGAAGTTGTTTAAAGACACACAGAGTTTAAAGGAAGCTGTTTATTTTAAACCATGTTTTTTTTGCAGCTGAATTCTCCCGGAGCCACTTCAGTGAGTCTGGGTTCACAGACGTCACCAGTCACGCAGACAGGACTCTCTCTCCTAGTTACCTGCCCATGGCAGGGGGGTTAGTAGGATGGGGTGGGGGTTAGGCCTGGTGCTGTGGGATGCTTAGACTACTTAGGCCTCTTCTTAGCATCTCCCGTAACACTCTCTCTCTAAATGAGAATTACAAATTTGCAGAAGAGCAAATTCAATTTTAAAACATGACGGGGAAAAAAACAAAAATGCAGGGTCACATGATTGAGCAGAGCTCCCTGGGAATAATGGGCACTTGTGGAGCAGCAGAGGAGACCAAACAAGCCCGGACTGTGTCTCCAGCCTGCTGGAGTGTGGGGCTTCGGCCCACAGATCAAACCAGAGCTCCAGCCCCGACCCCCCAACGGCCAGCGGGTCTCACGCTACAACCTCCTCCTGCTCACAATTGCACTGCTTGTTCAGGAGAATCAAGTCGTTTGTGTCAAAATAAGCCTTAATTTACTAACCAAACTGGCCTGACGGTACCTCCTAGTAACCCGAGCTCTGCGGACGTACTACACGTCCAGCGGCATTTGCCACCAATCAAACCACATATCTTCATGTGCCCCCTTGGGGTTTGAGTTCCCCTGCTGGCCACAGACAGTCGCTACAGTGTATTCCTTGTTTAGAAATGCTAAAGCAGCATGTTCCAGCTAGCTAACTGCCAACCTTCTAAGTCTAGATGGTCGTAGACTCTAGAACCGCTAGATATTTATTTAGCTTTTGAAACATCAGAGGAATGTGTTCTTTGAGTGGAGCCCCAGAATCAAAAAACTCGGCCCTGTACACATCAGCCGCGCTGCCAGTCAGTAGGGCAGGTTCACGCAAGCACAGGCACTTGCCTTGTGCTCCTCGAGCTGCACGCGGTACCCCTCCAGGTCCCCCGCGGTGGGCTGGGCCTCCATGCGGCGAATGCGAGCCTCCGTCTGCGTCAGCCAGTCGGCCAGCTGCTGTAGCTGAAGGTGCTGAAGCTCCATCAGGACCTCATGAAGCCTGCGGGGGGTGGGGAGGGGGGTGACACACAGGAGCAAAGGATGCGACATCATCGAAAAGGCATGACAAGCCAGTTAATGCTGCGCTGTCGGCGTCAGCGAATGGCACAGGGAACGGCGACTGGGGTAAGGATGCAAGTTAGGAAGGTTGCTGGTTCGAGGCCACACAAAGCAGAATAGCCCATCAGGCCCATGAGCATAGCCCTTAACCCTCTGAAATGCTCCCGAGGCTCCAGATAAAAATCGCTGACCCTGTGCTCAT